ATATAATTTTAATATTTCATATATACATAATTAATCATAACTTTTAATAAATATCCTATAACTCAATCTATTTCCATCATCAAATTTGTTTTAAAAAGTTCTTGAAAATAAGATCCATTTATAATATATTTAATCACAAAATTTTGATACGTAGCTGGGCAAACTGTGTCACCAGCTATTACAATAGTTACTTCATTAGTGCTATAGGGGTAACTTGGTCAGTGTTATAGTGGTTACTCAATCAGTGTTATAGATAGGTGTTACTCAATAGTTAATCAGTGTTAGAGGTTACTCAGTTAGTATTACAAGGGTTACTCGGTTAGTTTTATAGGCGTTACTTTGTTCGGCCAGATAGTGTGGCTAGCCGCATGCAAAATACATTGTTATTTAATTCATTTTAAAAAAAATATTAGAGAATCACTGAAAATAAGTTTTAATATCCTGCATTATCAAAAGTGATTATATGATCGTATTTAACATTCAATCCAAAAAGTTTATCCTAAACTTTTATCAAAATGAGATCCATTTATATCAAGTTAATTTATATAAAATTAGAAATAATTTAAGTGCAATAAAAAAAATCAAGTTAATAATAACATAGATATCTATTTACAAATAAAATTACAAAAAGTACACTATTATATATAAGCGATATGATATCGCATGTCTAAATATTTTACATTATCAAAAAGGATTATAGGATCGTATTTAACATTCAAGCTAAAAAGTTTAGGACAATTCGGCCACGACACAGCGACACTTGGCATCCCAATTATTTGCCAAGTGTCGCACCACGTAGACAACAAAATAGGTATTATTGTGAAACATATGATGTAAAATAAGCAAATTTTGGATAGATTTTCTAAAGATAAAAATGTTGTATAGAGTTTTAATATCGATAAACTACTAATATTTCATATATACAAAATTAATCATTACTTTTAATAAATAGCTAATAACTCGGTTCTATTTCCATCATAAAATTCGTTTTAAAAAGTTCTTTAAACTAAGATCTATTTATAATATGTTATTTTTTATTTTAACAAATAATAGAGAATTAGTTAAAAAAAAAGTTTTAATCAGTAAAAATAATTTTAGTTTAGTAAAAATACTTTTAGTTTAGTAAAAATAATTTAAATATGATATCGCATATCTAAATGTTATTCATTATCAAAATGGATCGGATAATATGACCATATTTAACATTCAGGGCTTCAAGCCAAAAAATTTATCCTAAAATTTAATAAACAACCTAGGCATCGCACGGGGCACAAAACTAGTTGATATAAATAGTGTTAAGTCAACGAAATATAATATCAGATGAAATAAAATCAAAATAATAAGAAAAATGTAGGTTACCAAGCTAATGATTACTAACAAATTAGCAATATGGTGGAGAATATTGGAGTGCTTGACTACAAGAGATTTGAGGCAAAAAGGAGGTTTCATGCAAATAGGATTTATAATTTGAATATTGGGTTTTTTTTTAGCAAAACTGGGTACAATTTGTGATTTGGGAGAAGCTACGTCCATACGTTGCAATGGTACTAATAATTACAATCTATAAAGCTATATTACATATATGTAATTGAGAGCAATATATGTAAGATATCTTACAAGCAGGTAATTTAGAGCAATATAAGTAAATAAATTAAATTGCGTTGCTCTCAATTACTTATAAGTAAGATATCTTACATATATTGCTCTCAATTGCGTACATATTACGATCTATTACATAAATCAATGGTATTGTACGTCAAAATATCCTAAATCGAAAAGGATATACACCTTTTACATAAAACTGTTTGAATCAATAATATGTTATAAAATTTGGCATATAGATAAAAAAAAAATTATCTTAAAATTCAATAAACAAGTCGGACATCGCACGAGACACAATACTAGTTCCTATATATAAGTATGCATGTATTTCTAAAGTGGTACAAAGTTGAAAGTTTTATGACAAAAACACGTGACGATAAATGTAATTAATGCTAAGTTATCTTAATACTTCCCTTTTAGCTACCTATAGGTAGCTCTTAGAAGAAGATATTGTAGAAAGAGACATGGGGAAAAGAGTGGGGGAAGGGGAAGTGTTTTTCAATAGTCACGTAAGATCGACATTGGAAATCAATGGCCAAAGGTCGGCCAGTATTCGATTAAGGTCCCCTTTTTCACAACCAAAGTACAATATATAAAAAGTTCCTTTTTGTCATAATTTTTTAGATGTCTTTTAAATACTAGTAAGTCTTTTTTTTTTTTTGGACAAAGGTTTAAATAAATATGAAAGTATTACAAATTAAGAGCATTACTAGCTTCTTTGTTACCACGAGAATATATTAAACTAAAGTACATCTTCCGAGCTTAATCTTGCCTGGTTGAGAAATCTACCATATGCCTTCGAAGAATATGTGGCGAGGATTACAACATTCCACTTTTTGATTCCATGTCTTTCTATTGAACTTGGAGAATGCGTAAAAGGACAACAAATACACAAATTTTGGCATACATATAAACGAGCTTAAAATGAAACCAACAGCCTATAACATTAAGTAAATGGGGCAGGAAAACAAAACGGTCAAGGCGTAACAACACAAACTGAATCACACGTTTAAGTGATTCGGTACCCTTAACAGTGGGTACCATTGATCTATTCTCTAAAAAAGAGATCGTTGACATACTATGAACCTCCTAAAATTGTATTTCGTAGGCCCCCAAAAATTTCATTTTGAGGAGCAGTGTTAAGATTGATATTATTACTTTGAAAAATACTTGTAAGTCATTCCTCATAAAAGTCCTACAATAAAAAAAGTCTTTGTTTTTTTTTTTTTGGCTTTTTTTATCATTTTCTTATTTAAATTTTTAATTAATCACTTATCTTTGATTTCAATGTTAGAAATTAGAATCACGTATTCACGTTTATACCGACATGTATGCGCCACAATTAGTAGCAAGCGCATCTATATATTCGTAAGTTGACTGATTTGGTACGTCATTTTAGTATGAATGGGGATTCTAGTACTTTGTACATTGGATAAGAATATCAAAATTGGATGATTTGGGGGATCATAAAAAGGGTCGACTGGGTCGTGATTCATACATGTATATTTCTGAATCAAAAAATTTGCGGCAAATTTCTGTACACTTAATCTTATCAGATAGACAAAATGTTACACGAGTAGTTGAATATTTGAATGTTCTCCCAGCTGCCAATTTAACCAAAATCTGGTTGTAACAACCAACGAGAGACAATATTCAAGGATAAGAATGCACACAAGATAACAAGATAACGTAATATTTAGAAATCTAACTAGTACTATATCTCTTTGGTTCCGATAAAGACGTACAATAATTTAATACATTTTTGCTAAATACAGGATCAAGCCGTGTTGGAGTAGCCCTTTAACCTCGTAATTAAGTGTTTAATTCCCTTTTTCTTTAATCCATGGGACACTTGTATTTAATTTGTTGACGGGAAATATTATGCTTCTACTAATAATCTATACCCTTCACCTAAATCATGTATCAATAATATTACTCTACTTACTATCTTTCATCGTGGAATCGACGAATAAAGTACTACATCCATTTTAGAAACACACATATGATATGCAACCCATTATTAGGATAGTAAAAGCTATTTCGTATAATTTAATCTAGAAAATCACCATTAATTCAAAGCTCAAGAGTGTTATTGTTGTGTGTACCTATCTTCAAATATTACAGCAAAGTAACTTAGAAGTTAAATATAATAACAAAATTATAAATTAAGTGATATAAGCAAGTGGAATTAATTAATTAACAATTCTAAACAACAAATAAGCTAGACCAAATCCACAATAATCAAAACAAAATATTGAATTAAAGATTTTCTCTTGACCAATTGAATTATTGTTTTAATTGTGCATCATCACCGTAGCCAAGTATAATACTCCCAATTTGCAAAGATAACTGGAAAACGAAAGGGAAGACAAGCTCCCAAACAATCAGACAGGTTGAACATTCCAACTTCATCGCGCAAAATAAAAAACGTTTTAATTAATTTACATGAGCAATATTATAAAATTAAATACACTCAAGCCAACTAATAGTCACATACATCATTATGTTATCACCCAAACAAGTCTAATTTATTAATTAACAAGGGAAAGCGAATGCTAGTGCTTGTAGATTTGTGCTGGTCCTTGCAATTAACAAACTACTTCACTTGCCAATAAGTGGGGGTTTGCCCTTGCAACCAACTTCGATTCACCAATCAGGTCTTGGCCTAATGGTTAATTAATTAGTAAAAGTGAGACTCTATATACGATATATAGGTCATATGTTCTCTAGCTACCCCTAATCAAGCATATCTTAAGCATGTTTCGGGCTCAATTAATCCTAATAAATTCATAAAAGAAAATTTTAAAAGCATTTACTTAAAATTAAGACAAACTAATAAAATTTGGGGGTACTACATGATGCACTTTGGAAGTAGAGGGAGTAAGACTATTTTTATTTTTTTTTCCCTTTGTTTTTACATATATTAATGCTTATTAAAAGTAGATTAAACCTAATTTTAGTGATCAGATTAAATACTCGTAATTTTTTTTCTTTATTGCTTTATATTGATTTAAGAGAACATGGCCAAGCTAGCAAATCAATGAATGATTTGGTTCAAGACCTACTATATGGTGTCGGATACATTGAACATCTTAAATACGCGATCGAGCAACAAGTTAGTTGTGTACTTACACTGTGTGCAGTGTTCAAGTTAGTTGCATAAAATTGATCTTATTATGGCCAATATTGTCAAACATAAAGAAATATTTGATTAGAGTGGTGTATGTAATTTCAAGAATTAAAAATATAAGGGACGGAGGGAGTAGAAGCGAGAGGTTTAAAATTTCACTCCATGAGCAAAATGAATTACTTTGTACACTCTTTTTATCTCATTTAACTGCTTTATTTTAATCAAAGGCTTTCATAAAATTGAAACATTATAATTGTCATGTGCCTGACACATGCTACTCCATATTTGATATTTTTCTTCTTCCTTTATGTGATAATCAAATCAAATTCAACTTCTGTGTTCTAGCATCAATGGCGGAATTGACTTTAACTCCAATATAGACAATCATTGATCATTCTCAACAGCAACAACAAGGTATCGATTTCTAGGTTTAATTTGTTATTAATTTTGAGCAACTTAATCAATACAATTTGAGCAAATTCATACGTAATATGATTAAGTTGATCTTGATTATTCATCAAAATTGATACTGATTACTCATTAAAATTGATCCTGATTAGCAAAAAGCAAACTAAGGTAATTAATGAATATAATCTGATTGTTGATTATTAAACAGGTTTTGATTATAATGCAATTGAGCTAACGGAGGTAATTAATGAACATAATCTGATGATTGATCATTTTTAATGTAGCATATTAATAACATTTTAATTGATCAATTGAATTTCAGCTTATCAATTTAGTTGCTCTTTTGCTAATGATCAAATCATTTTAATTCCTAATTTTAACTACTTATTTTAATTGTTCATTTTTCTAAGTTTTCTATATTAAGCTTTTGATTTTTTAGATACTGAATTTCATTTGACATAAATCATGTTGAAAAAATGAGCAAATTGAAACATATGAGCAAACCTAAATGAACAAATTTTTATGAGATTGATATTTTTGATGGTTAGAGACAATGGTATTGATTTTCATTTTCATTTTGCTGCTAATTATACTTTTTGTTTTTTCATTATTAACAGATAGCATAAATCAGTGTTGTATCGAATAGTTGTGCTCATTTTGCTAATGATCAAATCATGTTGTACAAGATAACACAGTAGATGTATTGTTATTGCAGCAGAAGATTAGATGAACTATAATTCTTTGCTCATTTATCAAATGAGCAGCAATTCTTTGTTCATTTATCAAATGAGCAATAATTCTTTGTTCATTTATCAAATGAGCAACAATTCTCAACTACCAGCAATGGTAAATGTTCCTCTAAATTCTTATTATAGCTTCTTGTCTTCTAAACTGCTACAAGGATACATGTGTATGGTCTGATTCGTGGGTATTGAAGGACGGTTAAGTGGTGCAGTTTATGCCGAGTAAAGAGAGTGGTGGGGGATGCATGTTTATGAGCTATTGGATGATTCGTGCAGTGAATGGATCCTTATTGTGATCAAAAGTTTATTCCCTGATGAAATTTGTCCAATAATATGTGCTACACATATTTCACATAGATGATGATGGAAGCATTGGGAACTGCGAGTAATTTTTTGTTGATATTTTGCAGATCAAGTACCTTGACATCTGGAAACAGAGGCATGGACTCCAACTTTGGGCAACTCCATAACTTCAGTTTCTTGAGACAGTCAAATGATAGTGATGACCCAAGTGTTTCGTCCTTGCACCATCTCTCCAAGCAATAAAAATCGTGCAGTGTGAGTTCTTCAAGGGTTAGGAAGAATTGAGATTCTAGTGTTGATGATAGGTTGTCAGAGTTTTCAAAAAATTGCACATTATCCATAAATCGAAGAGTGAGGTGCCTGAGGTGTGGGAGCCAACCGAAAGGAGGGAGTGTTTGGCACTGTCCAATGTCATCAATGCTGACATTGACGAGTTCTGGGAGTACTGTGGCAAAAGTTCTGGGAGCATTTTCAGATTAAAAGGCGTCTAGAGGCCATCTAACATCGTCTAGTACTTAAGTGAATCACTTTTGCTGGTATCTCTTGCAGGTCCCCATTTGATTGCTAGCTCTATAAGCCCGGTTTGCCGCTCAAGTTTGATATTGCAACTTCATTTACAGCAGCACGCAGTCCAACTTTCTGAAAACTCAATCATTAGTCTTCCCTGTAAGCGATTGAGGTTGCTAGTGACTGAAACCCACTGGTAGACTAAATTTTAGATTGTTAATGTTCCTCTAAGTTCAAATTTCAGATTCTTGCCTTCTTAACTACTTTATTAATCATGCTAACTTGCTAAGTGCAATGAGCAACTGTAGAATTATAAATGTTTTGAAACTAGTAGCCTATGTAGGATTTGAACCTACATCCTCTATGCAATATTAGAACATAGTGCTCGATCAATTAAGCTAATAGGCTTACAGTTTGAAGAGATTATAGTGATCATTTGAAGTTTTCTCAATAAGACTAGAAAAAGATATTAATCAAATATATTAACCATATTAAAAGACAATTCAAGAATGCAAAGGTACTTAGCAATCTAGTGGACTAGATGGATCCATCATTTGCAGCACAAAATTGAATTTTGCATACTTGATGCAATCAATTAATTACTAAATTTAACAGTATGTATATTACCTCCTTTAGACAATTTCGTGAGGTTAGTAACAACAACCCTCACAATATTAGGATCCACAAGCACAATTTTTTCTCTTCATTCATAGTATAATCTATGAAACCCCATAGCCTTTTATTGAAGATTTGCAAGATAAGAAGCTAATTTCCTATTAAGTTGTATGTCATTTGAGTAAGCTACTATCACGAAAAGATGACTTAAATCAACAACATATTCTTCAATTGAGCCAAGCAACATCTCACTGCATTTGAATTTCCATTCCTACCATAAGAGAGAAACCAAAAAGAAACACATAAAAATGTTTTATTAAATATCGAATCAGCAAACAAAAATATAAAGGAGCAAACAAACATAAATAAAATGAACAACCAAGCATAAAATGAGCAAAAATAAAATAAAATGAACATATAAACATAAAATGAGCAAACACAAAATAGAAAATCCACAAAATAAGAACAATTATTGACACATGAATAAGAACAATTAATTGCCGCAAAATTAATGATCATAACTAAACACAACAATTTGATACGAAGTAAAATTGAACAAAATTACATGAAACAATTTCTTATACTTCATAGAACATATAAAACCTAGATTTCAACTAAACTGTAGTACGAATTTCAAAATTATGCAACCAAAAATGCAAACAAAAATCGAAAAAAAAGAGAAAATTTACCTAGATCAGATTTCACCATTGTTGGATCTAAACGCAAAATCTAAACGCAAAAAAAAAAAAAAATGATGAACATGAAGAATTCTACAAATTAAAAATAGAGAAAGAAGAACAGATCGAAGAGAGAGAAAGAAGAATGGAAGAACTTTGTAGATATGAAACCTTGAAGAAAGGAGAAATTGAAAACAATCACGTGTAGGCCAGGTGAAATGTCAAGCATTGCAAGCAAATTTAGAAGTAACTAACAATTATAACTCTGGGTACCGTACACGCAGGTATATAACACTAATTATATGGATTATGAGAGAAGAGGTTATACATAATTAGATTATATATAGTTAAAATTTATACTTTAGACGGTGTGCATTATTTAACTATTAAGGTGACAATACATTGTATAGATCGACAAAGCAAATTTGGTAAGTTTCTTATATATAAGATCGTGTCAAAGAGGATTGAGGATATACTCCTTCAATGGACATTACTCATCATCAAGAATTCAAAAACAAATCCAGAAAGTTGGATAGTGTGTTGTGCATAAAGTAGAAAGAGACCAAGTTGATCAAGCTCACTCCATCGCTAATGATTGGAGAAGAAGAATGTTTTCTTCATCTTTAATCTCTCAAGAATTGAACTATATATGTAACTAACCTTTATTATTAATAATAAGACAATGTCAACATACAAACCACTTCATGTCATTGTCAGTTAATTAGGTAATTAATTGAGCCACGTGGTGAGCAACTATAGAACCAATGCCCACATGATCAATAAGGAATTAAATATCTAGAAGTCCTAATTAACCAATCCACCAGAAAAAGCAACTTTTAATGTGGCATACTTCCCCGGTCTTAATTTGTTTGTCTCATAATAGGTGAGTGAATGTAAAACCAAACTGGGGTAGACTAAAATTGACAAATTAGTGAAGAACGTGTTCTCTTCACCTTAAAAATACGGAGTATAAATTTTAGGTTTAATATGTTTAGATAAATTCAGATAAGTTTTGATAAGTTTTAATTAGCTAGGTTCAATAAGTTTTAATTAGATTTAGTAAGTTTCAACCATTTTTAATCAACTCTAATAAGTTCCAATCAGGTCTAATATAATTATATTAAAAACTATTTTTTAAAAAGCAATGTTTTAAATACTATACATCATAAATTTTACCATTATTGTTATTATTTTAGTATTAAGATATCACATTCTATTATGTATACTTTTTCTCGGGAGTGAGGAATGTATACTGTTTTATTATTACTATATATATATATATATATATATATATATATATATATATATATATATATATATATATTATAGTAATTACTAATAATAGTTTATTGTTAATTCCTAGAAAAGATTCTATAATAATAATAATAATAATAATAATAATAATAATAATTTTCAATAGGTTCAATCCAGTCTAATCAATTTCAATCAGATTCAATAAATTCAATTCCAATCAGATTCAATAAATTTAAATAAGTTGTAAGTTCAATAAGTTTACACGTACTCATAAGTCTCTAAAAAAAAGAAAAGGAGTTTAATTTAAGTCTTAGAAAACAATATATACTAAATACTATCCATACAACCATAAAAAAACCCCGACGTGGCCGTGTGTTGATAAATGATATAGGAGTTCACAGATTAGAGTGTATAGTCATGTGGCTCCATACACACTGGTAGTTACCTAGTCTTGGCTCCACCTTCATGGCTTCACGTGGACGTGCCCTAGTATTCTATAAATTAGGCCCTAACTAGATGAAGCCTGTGCGATGTACGGTTTGTTTGTATTCTCTTAAATAAAATATTACTAAATATATATTTATCTAATAAACTTTGTGATATTCGCTTGCTTACTACTTGAATTTTTAATTATAAAATGAATTACTAACTTTGTTTCTCATATTTAGATAAAATTCGTAATATAAAAAGATAATATTTTATTTCACAAAGTTTTATATGTGGCTGGTCACACCATGTGGTCAGGATTACTTGTTCAGGAGTTACTTGGTTGATCTAGGGTTACTCAATCGATCAAGGGTTATTCAGACGGTCAGGGGTTACTTGGTCAGTGTTTGGGTTTGTCTCAGCCGGCCACACGATATGGCTAGCCACTCAAAAAACGCTCTAATTTTATTTTTATAATTAATTAAAAATTTTGATCTAAAATAAATTGCAATTCGTTTTTTTTCATTGGCTAAAATATAACTATGTGACACTACTACATTTTTGACCTATTGCAACCCCTAAATCCGTTGCATTAGGCGTCAAATTCCGTGGCATTAGGCCTAATGCAACGGCCATGTACCGTGGCATTTGCTGGCGTTGCAGTAGGTCGATTGCAACGTTATACAACACCTAATACCACAGCAGCTATAATCCGTTGCGATAGCTCTACACCTAATGCCACGGTATAAATTATCTGTTACAATAGATTACTTACTACAAATTGTGATGAAATTGACACCTATTGCAACGGCTGAAGCTGATTAATACAAATGATATATAGTACATATCTACTGCAACGGATTGATCATTTGACCTTTTTTTTTTTGTTTTTTTTTTTGAATTGTACGGTAATATAATATATGTATAAATAGTCGGTACAAATCTAAATATACTAAGAAACAAAATATCATTAAATTTATATAAAATAATTATAATGCTAAATACGTACATTATAAAATATTAGTTGCTTGTTTTTTGTATGACACCCTACTAATAATAAATAAAAGTTATATAATTAATTTAATCCTCCAAAATACAAATTTTCAACATATATATAAGCCGGAATTTTCAAATCTTCACAAAGTTGAGCTTGAGTAAGAGTCGCCAACATATATGCACCATTTGTTAAATGACTAGCTAGTTACTATGCTTCAGCTCCATTTAGCTCCCCATGCACCTACACGTAAAATAGAATAAAGTAATAGAAATATAATAGAACTAAATTATAAATTACACTAGATCAAGGCCGCAATCAACATGAGAAAAGTTCAAAACGCGCGGAGAATTCAACTATACAATAATACTCATGTTAGACCGCAGGCCACAACAGCAGCACCCTGAATCCAATACAGGCAGCAGCCAACCCAAAACCAAACAAAAACACAACAGGCACAAAACAGGTTGCAAGCAAGTAGAACCCTGAACCAGAGCTACTGATCTGCCACTATCAGATCCAACACTAAAACCAAATCAGAAGCGGCAACCAACAGCAACCATAAGACAAATAAGGAGGGCACACACCAAACACATCTAAAAAACAATAAACCAGGGCACCCAGCTATCCATACAACGAGTAAAAACAGCCCCCCTCCCTATCACATCAATTTCCCCTATTTTACAGACTTTCAAGAATGCAATATCTTCAGAAGAACAGCAACTAAGTCTACTGTCCCTGTAACCATTTTTTACCAACAAAATTGGGTGTTTGGATCAAAATAAAGACAAATTTAGAGCACTAGATGTCCTATAGTTATCAAAAGCAATATTACAACCAACATAAACATCCCAACATTGCAATAGCACAAAAGCTTAAAGAAGTCACATTTTGACATCGATCTGAGATTGTTTTTTATTGTTTATATATCTTGTCACTGTTTCCAAGCTTCATTATGTACATTTGTCAATTTAAGCTTGCCAAAATCAATTGAAATTAAAGTTAGCCATGTATACAAAATCAAAGATCCTAATGCTCTTTTTATATATAGATAATAAAACAGGAGAATAAACCAAAAAAAAAAAAAAACCTTAATCAGAATTGAGTAGGATAACTACTATACATGCAACAAAATTATACAAAACCAAGCAAAGTACTTCAAAGTGATAAATATTGTCAAGCTTTATCTTCGTATTATCATACCCTGTGAACTCATATCCAATACGAACATTAACAATACTCCAATATCTCTAAACAAACTCATAAAGAAAATTAGTAGCAAGAATCAAGAATGGCCTGATCAACTATAATTATTTAAATAGA